TTCTCCCGCGAGGGACATTCGAAATGATTCCAATAGATGTACGATTACTGAGCACGATATCTTCCCTCATATGGAACCTTCACGAAACGAACAAACTTAAGTTTTTAGAATTACCTTCGATCAGCAGACAGATCGCTGACAACGCAAGCCGCCCAAAAAACAAAAGTTGCAACGGCTCAAGAATCTTCGCTCACCGACCTGCTGACGGCCTTGCCAGACAATGACAGACACTTCACGTTAAGGTTGTAAATCACCCCATTATTTAAGATATATATGTAAAAGTAAATTTAACTTCAGTTAATTCACGCGTCTTTTGAATAGCGTAAGGTCGCTTTACTCCCACTCACAACTATGGGCATTCCCAGGATTCCCAGAGGACTTTTGGTTTCCAAAAATGGAGTGAAGCATAAAGACTAGACTAAAAGACTGGACTATGGGGCAGAAGGATCGTGGAACTCCTACAGCCTCTTCAACTATAGACGCGTTTTGATTACAGAATCTTCCGTCGATTTTCAAATAGAAATAAAGCAAAACGATTAAAGTTTACGCGAAAAAACTCAGATAAATACTCTATGTGTCGCTGAGTACTAAACAAGTTCTCGATTAATTTTCCCTTTCGCCCGCATGCGTCCAACGAACTTTGTGAATAGACTTAAAAGGCAAGTAGGATGGCATGATCTCCATCTCCTCTTCTCCAAAATTTCAACATATAAAAGCACAAATTTTTATTTAACTGGGTGTGCAAGCGGTGTGTATCTGAGCGTGTGAGGGGGAGGAGGGGATTTGGAATTTTTTTTGCCTGAAAGCCCTTGGCATATCAAAGAATCAGAATTTGGTGAGTTGAAACAAAGTCTGTTGTGGGAGCAATTCGAAAATAAGGAATGTACCCAAAGTCTTCTTTTTCATGGTGTCATGGGCAGATGAAGTCCCCAAGAAGGTAAATCAGTGAAAAACATTCCATTTTCAATGGAAGGTCTATGAAAGAAAAGGAAAAGAATGGTTAATGGATAGTTACCTTTCAATCATCGTTTAACCCTTTAATTCCCGTGAGTGACTAAGAGAATTTCTCCTTACATTATCAATACAAAATCAAGAAGACAAGTGATGAGAACCAAGTTATTAGTTGATCCAATACCAAATTCTCAGAAGTAACATGAGAAGAATTGTATGGCAGACAGTAAGGAGAATTAATTAAAAGATCTTGGGGATTAAAGGGTCAATGCACTTCTCCATTATGAAACAAACTTTATCACCCGAGCTCAAAGTTTTCACAACTTATAAAAAATTAATAAATAAGTCACTGGCAGAGATAGGCTAATAGGGTGAAGTCTGTGAAGTAAATTTCAACCGGAATACAAAACTACTCTGAACTGCATCGGTTTTACCTCAACTCTTTACTCCTTAACATCAGTATCCAGATTCTCCATACTCTTCTCCGTGCATTTCCTTTGGTACTGACAAGGAGAATTTGTATAACAATCAAAACCTCTTAAGTTGGCGATCATTTTCTTTTTTTCCCGGGATCTTAACGAATGATTCAGCAATATTATTGTTAGGAGAAATTAGATGCTGATCACTCTCAGGGTTTAAAGGGTTAACGCACTATTTCTCCAGAAACTATGCACCACTCTCTCAACCAATCAGATGCTAGACTGGAACCAATTTCGACTTAGTCACTCGTGTTTAGTGCTTTGGGATGACTGTTTTGATTTTACTTCAGCAACTTAATGACTCCTTGTGTGATATTGTACTTTGCTTTGACTGGATATTTTAATAACTTGGGTTTTGATTATACAACGCGCACTACTCGAAAAGCGCTTAAGAAGAACAAACGAGAGGTTTTTCTTAATGCCGGCGATGCAGTCGAATACGTAATGAGAAGAGCAAAGCCTTAACCCTTTACACCCTAACATCAGTTTGCATATTCTCCATACTGTTCTCTATACATTTCCTAAGGTGTCGACAAGGAGAATTTGTTTAACAATCAAGAGCTTCTCTGGCTGATGATCATTTTTCTTATTCACGTGGCATTTATTTGTAATTCAGGGGTGGTATTGTAAGGAGAAATTAGATGCTAGTCACCCTTGGGGGTTTTTAAGGGTTAAATATCATCTACTGAAAATCATACAGCAGGAAAGTGAAGTAGCTTACGGCGCTAAGGACGCGGTTACTTATGATCCCATGAAAACTAGATCATCAAAGTCATAAGTCATCGGATGGCCTGAGAACCGCCACTGTAATTGGTTGGTTCGTCCGCTTCTGCTTGCGACTCCGACAGTTCAGTTTTCATCGGATCAGAAGTGTTTGAGTCAAAGTGACTAAGGACACAAAATGGAAACGTTCTGTATCTTCTGACTCTAAATCCGTCCATTTCGATTTTTATTGTACGACGCTGCCAACATTTTGAGGCATAACTCACTTAATTTAAACATTGCACGGACCTGGTTGCAAGCTGAATAATTCTCAGAACATCTTTCTGTTTTAGGACAAAAGTGTGAAGCAAGAAAGACACCAGCGCTTTGCTCTGACAAAATGTTAAACTTTCACCGTTTAGCTCCACGACTTAATCACCTTTCACTATATCAATTGAAGAGAAATTTTAAAATCCTCCTTGCAAATTTATTACATATCGTCAAAAAGGCTGTTGTGTTAAAAATTGATTACATGTTGTCAAAAAAGCTGTTGTACTAATCGTGGTAGTGAAGTGCTATCGCTTGACTCACGATGAGATCACTTCCAATGTCAATCGCAATCAGGTAGACTGACTGCGCGTCACCTTATGAAAGACTGACATGATATTTCCACAGAAAATTTCCACTCTACTTAATACCTGGTTAAATAATAGAAAATTTTACAAAGTAGTCGAGTATTTTCTTCATCCATGATTCAAATTTAAATGCGACAATCACCATGCTATTACGAGGAAGATTTACTTATGTGTCTAAAACACTGTTCCTTCCAATCAGTTGGTACAGAAGAATCCTTCACTGGGCTTGTTCCTGTTTAAGACGCTCTCCAATACTTCAACACCATTTAATCCTTCATCACGCTGACAGCTGGGCAGTTGGGATGTGAAGGCTGTAAAAAATAAAAAAACAGAAAGAAAATCAGTAAAAAATAAAGCATTTTGTTTTCGTTTTGAAATGAGCCTGAGACGAATTGGAAGAGTCGAACCCCACACCTGCGGATTTCGCACTCGGATGCTCTACCACTAGGCTGCAGATAACTAATTGGTAACCTAAGGTGTATGGGGGGTTCAAATGTGACAAGAACCTTGCATACTGCTAAGATTAGCATCATCAAAGCACCCCGTGTAAGCTGCGAATAGGAGAGATAATACCAACCAAGCTAAAAGTTACCGTTCGCAAATCATTTCATTCCGCACTGTAAACAGTAGTCTAAATTACCGTAGCGCTACTAACCCTTCTGATTTCGAAAAACCTCAACTTAAAACCTGGCTCCATGAGCAAATAGTGGTACTTGTCGTAAATGAAAGCTAAATCAGTTTGATGATTGAAGAAAATAACTCCCACTTTAAGCCAAACTTAAATTAAAAATTGGTCCAGGCTTTCAAAATTCTAGTTTTGGCACAACATAGCCTCTCCCATCATGCGTAAGCCTTTAACCCCTTAGAGTGACCAGCTTCTAATTTCTCCTTACAATATCACCCCTGAATCAAACATGAAAGTCACGAGAATCAAGGAAATGATCACCAACTTATAAAGCTCTTGATGTTTAACAAATTCTCCCGGTCAGTGCTTCAGGAAATGTATAGAGAACAGTAGGGAGAATATACATACTGATGCTATGGTGTAAAGGGTATTTACTCTTGAGAATCTAAATGACTTACCCTCTGTCAAGCGTCTTCTAACATCAAATCCTGTCAGGGACTGCGCTTACGTCATTGCGGTCACTAACCGCAGAAGATTCCAAGTCCTTACTTGCCAGGATGTAACACACAAGTCCTCCTCTGCTGCACTGTAGTTTGGTCCAGTTCAATTGAAACAAGTCCCTCCCGTTGACTTCTTAGCCAAGTTCTTAAACTACATCCAACCAGTGGCTCGCCTCCTGTCACAAGGCTTGCAGCGCTTTTTCCTCCACGAGAAATTTAGAATCAGACACAGTCTCCACCCCCGTCAACGTAGCTGTTGAATGTAGACACTGACGCGTTGTTCCAGGTCAGGTTTCCAGTCTTCTGTAATTATAATCGCTGAATGTACAAGTGCAACCACAACCTCATGTTAGGATACTCAGTCGGTGTTGAGAATGTTCAAAAGATGTGCTTTTCGCTAAGCCACGCTCATTTAGGGTTTTTCATTGCTCTCACTAAACAAGTTAACTTCAAGAAAAGTTTTGATCGACGATGTGATCCTTGACGAAGCTTGACAGAATTTGTTTATCCAGTCTTCGTATGAATTAGTGTGGTTGTTTAGTGTAAGGTTTAATATGGCAAGTGACGTGATCTGTGCCACAACACTCCTCAGATTACGCATGCAGTCTCCATGCATGTCACTGTGGTTGTTGACTGTAATACTCAGCGTGGTTATCGACGTGTTTTGTGCCAAACCACTTCCCAGTTCGCCCATCCAGTCTCCACTCATGTTACTGTAGTTGTTGAATGTAATACTCAGCGTGGTTATCGACGTGCTGTGTGTCAAACTACTTCCCAGTTCGCCCATCCAGTCTCCACTCATGTAACTATAGCTGTTGACTGTAATACTCAGCGTGGTTATCGACGTGTTTTGTGCCAAACCACTTCCCAGTTCGCCCATCCAGTCTCCACTCATGTAACTGTAGCTGTTGACTGTAATACTCAGCGTGGTTATCGACGTGCTTTGTGCCAAACCTCTTCCCAGTTCGCCCATCCAGTGTACACTCAAGTAACTGTAGTTGTTGACTGTAATACTCAGCGTGGTTATCGACGTGTTTTGCGCCAAACTACTTCCCAGTCTGCCCATCCAGTGTTCACTCATGTCACTGTAGCTGTTGACTGTAATACTCAGCGTGGTTATCGACGTGCCTTGTGCCAAACTTCTTCCCAGTTCTCCTATCCAGATTACACTCATGTCAATGCGGCTGTTGGCTGTAATACTCAGCGTGGTTATCGACGTGTTGTGTGCCAAACTACTTCCCAGTTCGCCTATCCAGTATCCACTCATGTAACTGTAGCTGTCGACTGTAATACTCAGCGTGGTTATCGACGTGCTTTGTGCCAAACCTCTTCCCAGTTCGCCCATCCAGTGTACACTCAAGTAACTGTAGCTGTTGACTGTAATACTCAGCGTGGTTAACGACGTGTTTTGTGCCAAACCACTCCAAAGACCACCCATCCAGCCTTCACTCATGCCACTGCAGTTGTTGAATGAGAGGTGTAATGTAGTAAGTGATACGAATTTCGCCAAAAAGTCACCAACACTTCGTCCCCAGTCCCCCTCACTTGAGTAAATGGGGCTATCAAAGTTCATACTCACTTTTCTAACACGTGAGCAGATAGTCTCGACGTCTGTAAATGCTGATGTTAATGACGAAGAATCGACTACAGATAACTTAACTTCTTCGCATATTTCGTCCACTGTCCCTACGTCATGGACATTTAAAGTAGACGAAAAGTTTTGATTGCATGTTAGGGCTTCAAGAGTGCTCTCTCCGTCTCTTGTCACCTCTCCCCTAATGTTGATACTCAAGTTGGACAGTGACTTAACTTTGTCAAAGTTCTTAACCAAACAGGTAGCAACACCATCTGTTACTCTTCCATGGATACTCAAATTAACGCAGGAAACTCTTGAGGCTATCAGGAGTTTGCATAAATCACTTGCTCCAGTGCAACTCAACTCTCCCCACATCTTTACAGTAAGTGAGTGAAGTTTCAACACGCCAAGTTTTTCTTCAAGTAGAAGAGGACGAAGAAAGGCCACCTGCGAAGTTGTTATTTTGCTGACTACATCCGGCTCAATTGTAAGAGACAGAGATGACTTTTTAGCAACATAGAGAGCTTCACAAATGTTTATCCAATTCTCGGGGAGTCCTCCGAACACTTTTAAGACCAGTGACCTTAAAGTACTATTTTCTACAACACCCTTTTTCAACGAAATGAAAGCAGAGCAGCTGACGCTTCCACATACAGTCAATGTGAGGGATTTTAAGTACGGATTAGCTGCAAGGCCTTCGGCGACAGAAGTCGCCAATGAATCGTGCATGTCTCCATAAATAGTGAGGCCAAAAGATTGAAGCGATCTGTTCAATAACAAATTGTTCAAAGCCACCATATCACTTTTCCACTTGTTTACTGAGCCACTGATCTCCAGCACAACAGATGTCAGCGGTGTGTCTCCAGACAATCCTTTTTCAAGAACAGTGGCCCAATGCTCACCTAACTCACCCGGCAGTTTTAAAGTCACGGTTTGAAGTGTTTTGTTTGCGGCTAAATTGTCACGAATAGAAGCAGCCTCCCTACGGGAAAAACAAAGACTTGTTTGAAGAGTAAAGGAATGTAAAGATGAGTTCACTTGAAGTGCGTTAGACAAAAGGCCAGTTATTTGTTCTGAAACACCTTCAGAAGAAAAGACAATAGTTTCTAGCCTGGAGTAAGAGGTTAGAAACTCGACAACAGAGAGAAGATTCCGTTTTAAACCAAAATACACAGTAAGATGAACAGGCAATTGTAATTCTGAGAAGTTCTTGCAAGCATTTGCAACTCTTAGAACACCTTCAGATGATTTATTTCTGATGCGACTGGTTACTGACTGTGGAAACGGGATAAAGGAACAAAGAGTCATTGCCATTTGTTCTGCTTCTCCGCTTTCACTGAAACACTCAGTGAAGAAAGTCGCCTCTCGCATAGTACGCTTTAGCCAGTTCCAGCATTTGACCTTAAGATTCTCGCCAATCTGTTCAAACAGATTACAAGTAGCCTCACCCGGTATGCCAGACACAAAGATAAATACTTGGTTGTATTTTCTTGTGATGTCATCAAAGCTCAACTTCAAATCATGAAACACATTAACTTTCTCTTCCAGTAGCTTGTGTGCCAGATATAATGCCGCCAAGTACTCTTGAAAAGTCTTGTGGAAAAAGTGATATTCGTGCTGAGGGTTAATCTTCTTCGCACTGGCCTCTTTAAATACCAAACCAAGTTTACGAGCTGCCAAAGGTTTCTTTCTTCTTTCAAATTCAGCCAACTCTTCTTCTCGAAACGAAAACCGGTTGTTTTGTAGACACCTCCACGCTAACTGCCCCAATGCTAGTAAACTATCTTTAAATTGTTCCTCTAAAGCTTTGTCATTAGAAGCGGCTTCCACCTTGTTTTTGGCACAATACCTTCGCAAAAGGCAACCAACAATAATGTGATAAAGTTGGGTTTGAGAAGATGGTAGATTTCCTTCATAATCCTCAAAAACAACACAGAGAAGAAGCAGATTCAATGGATTGCTAGGGAGTGCATGTAGGAAGGTATTTTCCAGGATGGACTGAATAAGCCTTTCTCCCTTTGCTACATGATCAAGACCTAAGTGAATAAAGTGCTTTCTGATGTACTCAGAACCCTTCAATTTGCAGAATAACGTCAAAGTCAACCTTCTGTCGCACTTCAATTCCTTTTTCTTGACGAGATGTGGCCAAAACGTAGCAAAGTGGTAACATTCTTCTTCTTAGTAACTTATCCACGTGACATTCACCTGCTGCCGGAAGCTCATCAAGGCCATCTAAAATCACCAAAATGTTTTTCTGGTTGTGAACATCTTTAATGTAATCTACCAGCTTTTCCTTGACCTTTCCCTCCATTGGGAGTAGCTGATCAACAATGGCATCTATTACATCTCCACAAATGTCTCGACATTTCAGCAGCAACAAAAGTTTGAAAACTGGAAAAGCAGATTCACTTGGGATTTTCTGGTTAGCCCAGTCATGAGAAATTTTAAGACAAAAAGTTGTCTTTCCAATTCCAGGGCTTCCCTCTACGAGCACCATAGAATCGTCATCTTTGTTGACAGTTTTAAAGATGTCAAACATGTTCACTGTTCTATCTTCCAATCTAAAGTCTGTTATTCGTCTCGACACTACTGACAGTTTTGTGTAAACATCATCAAGAGGTAACTTAAAGGTGTTCTCCCAAAGAAGTGGTTTTAGAAGAGATCTTCTGTTGTACTCAGCTCTGAGAAGTTTTGTAATCACAGAAAGGTCATGATCTAGGGAAAAATTATGAAAACAAAAATATTAACTTCTGTACATGTTTCATGCAACTTTTTTTTTAAGAATTAAACTCAGAATGAAGAAGAGTTTTCAGGCTATATGCAGATGCCATGTGGTTGCTAGCACAAATTATGAAATAATTCATACATTTAAATCAAAACATTTACAGATTTCACTTCCAATAACCGAGACTGAAAAAGCATAACTTAATTCAAGTTTACAAATAAAGAGGCCATGATCCACTGGAAATGGACCGAAAAATAAATAGGAAACATCTCCACTTGCTAACTTTCACGATGACAAGCAATGGAGAAGAACTGTAACGCTACGCTGTATATGCAAATAACACGAGATTTCACACTGATTCCACTAATACAATAGACTTTCGATGGAATTACCACTAAGAAGACCGCACTGACTGGTGTATCAGTCAGTTAGTCTACAAGTAGTGCATGCCTGCACCAAATTAATGAGTTAATTGACCACAGTATCAATTTAAACTAAAGTAACATGGTGATTACTACATGTAGCAATTACCATTAGCTGTGGAATCACCTTGAGTCTGACCACTTTCTTGAAATGGTGGGATTTCCTTACCTGCAAGGAACAAGGTACATTTAGAAGTTAAGCTCTCATGACTTACTGCTGCTCATTGCAAGACAAGCCTCACAAAAAAAGTTATCACTTTAACCCCTTAGAGTGACTGGCATCTACTTTCTCCTTACAATTTCGCCCTGAATCAACCATCAACGTCACAAAAATAACGGAAATGATCACCAACTAAAGAAACTCTTGATTTTTTTAACTAATTCTCCTGGTCAGTAGCAAAGCAAATTGTTTAAAAACAGTGAGGAGAAAATGCATACTGATGTTAGGGTAGGAAAAGTTTTTACTATGACATGTAGCAACATTCCCTTATAGATTACTTACTAACACCTGCATGTAAGTGACCAATAAAGAGCCTGTGCTATAATTATTTGAAAACATCAACTGACTAGTGACTGACAAGAACATGCTGTTACATGTTGCAAAATTATATTGAAGTAGCAGTATAAATATCAACTTATTGTTTTCTTGTAACAGAAGAAAATACTTTTAATAAAAGGGAACTTTTACCAGAGGCAAGTGTCTGCATCTTTTTCACAAGGACAGTACAAGGCTTCTCCCAGTTATAAGCTTTTTCATAATGTTTACGAAGATCCTTTGCTTCTGAAAGGCGAACTATCCTAGGTTTTTCACGAACATTTCTGATCTCTTTGGCCCAGACTTCAGGATCTCCTGAGTCTACCACACACTGTGAGCCAAAAGGCAATTCCTTCAGAGCTTCTCCAAGTCCTGAATTACCACTGACAAGTACAGGCAGACCAGCAGATAACGCTTCAAGACCAGGTGATCCAAAATCTTCAGTCCTTGATGGCATTATGGCAAGATCCGCAGCACAGAAATCTCTGGCTTGTTCTTTGCTGTCCTCACTAAACCTGCTAACAATTAGCTGATTAAGACTGATGTCATGATCAACCAACTTCTTTGCTATTTTCTCGCCATCTTCTTTTGGTGAATGAAGAAACTTCAGTTTGTAGGATACATCTTTTAACTTATCAATTGCTTTAGCAGCCACATCGAATCCCTTAACAATGAAATCTTTACAGCTGTCACCACTTCCAAACAGTAAAACACAGAATGTTTTCCTTTCCTCAGTGGTGTGCACCACATTCAAAAATTCAGAGAAAACACCCGGAGTGAGATCTAAAATGGTTTCTTTAAGGTAGCGTTTGTAAACCTCAGCCACTTTAGGTCCTATTGCTACGACCTCATCGGCCATCTCACAAAGTTTTACTTCTTTTTTCTTAAGACCTTCTCCTTCTGAAATGTTCTTGTACATTCCCTCCTCTTCATGAACACTGTGAACAACTTGAATCCATCTACACTCTTTATTCCTCTTTATGAGTTGAATTTGTTTGCCAAGATGCAATCCATGTCCTATGATACAGTCTACAACATGGTTTCCGGGTAAAAATGACAACCAATAAATTGGTTCAAAGCCGTACAGTTCATCTGCTTCAACAAGCTGAATTTTGTGATCCTCAGCATTTTTTGTGTCCTTTTCACTACACTTGGGAAGAAACACACTAACTTTCACATTAGGATGCTTAGCTAACTGTATGGCAAGCTCTCTGCTGATAGTTGAAACTTCTCTATCAGTTGATGATCTCCACCCACTACTCAGCAAAGTGACTTTCAGTCTCCCATTTTGCTGGCCTTCCTGTGATGAAGAGGCTTCACTTGGAGTGGCTTCAATTTGCTCCTTCAAGAGTAAACAGCACAGATTTAGAATAGCTGTCTCTATTGCAATAATATAACATATTTCATATTAATATATAAAAGTTGTAATAAAGTATATTTTTGTCAAGTGTTCATAACAATGGCCAAGAGAGCATGGAGAGAGGAAAAAAATAGAATCGCACATGGTCTGCTTATTTGTGCACAATTTCTGGTTGTTCATCAGTTATTTACGTAGCAGGGGAGCACAACATAGGCAACAAGGATAAGCATGGAATTGGTACAACACAAGCATAGCACAAGATGTCTTTGAACAAAAATGGAACTTTAAAAAACAATTCCTAAGTTTGATTGTTGCTAGGAAACTGCTATGTAAGACCACAATGGAATTATTTGCCAATGGTAAAGGTCTAATTATTAATGAAGGTAAAAACCCAACCACAAGACAATGAAAAACAGCTATGCTACTCCATTTAACAGGGTAGATATCCAAAAAAATCTTCACAAAACTTGTGAACACAAGCAAAACAAATGATTAAGCCAGATCTCTACAGTTGTTACAGCATTGAATGGATATTTTCTTCCCATAATCAACTCAGCTTTTGCAGTCCACTCAATTCTGCTTAATTTGTTTGTGGGTGGGGTAGAATTAGAGATGTTGGTGGATTCTGGGGACACCAATAACACTGATGATGAAGAAACCTGGGAAAATTTGAAAGCTAAGAAGATAAAGAGTAAATCTAAAGCTGCCCCTGTTGACAGGAAACTATAACATGCTTATACATCCAGCAAGCCCCTTGAAGTAAAAGAGTGTTCTATGTGTGAAGTTTTGGTTGGCAAGTAGAGAACTCAACAGAGAACTGCAACAATAATTCCTGGAGGTGTTTAGTGGGATTTGAAAGCTGAAGTTTAAACAAGTGACATTACACAAATACCCAACAGTAAAACTAGAAGCACACCACTGAGGGTAACTCTCTTCAATCTGCAAGACAAAGTGGAATGGAAAGTTCCAGAACTATTAGACTATGACATCATAGAAGAAGTTGACAGTCCAACACCATGGGTGAAACCAGCAGTAATTATTCCAAAGACGGATGGTGACATTTGGCTCTGCATAGATGTACATGGTCACTACCCCATACCAATAGTAGATGGGCTGTCACACAACATGAATGGCTTGAAGGTTTTTAGCAAGCTATAATCAGCATCAAAGTCGACATATTGTTCTTGCAGAGTTCTAATTATGTGTAGAATGACACTCCTATTTCTACCACACTCTTCATCATTGACATGACCCCCCCCCCCCATTCAATGTTACCTGTATGTAGCTAGAAGTTTGTGGAATCAGGATACAACATTGTTTTGGAGGGAAGGGGGGCAAATAGCTTAGCTTAGCTTAACAAGGGTAGGTAAAGCAGAACATGGTTGTGGCTGAAACATTTCCATATGTTAACAACAATACATCAACAAGGCTTAATGCAGATATGATTCTTGCTGGCCTCAGAGCCAGGTGTTAATACAGGACCAGAATGGTACGTGGGTGCCCATTATCTGTGCAAGCCACAGCCTCAGAGTATGCATGTAAATACTGCCAGACTGAGAGAGAATCCCTTGCCCTTTTTTGGGCATGCAAGAGGTACCATGCTTACATGTCTTAGCTCATAAGGGACACTTACATGTTGCAATTGTTGGAACAAAACAAAATTTGAGAAGCAAAGTATGGTGGCCTTGTATGGATGAGGTAGCAGAAAAATTCTGCAAATCTTGTTATGAATGTCAACTGGTTGCACATCCATATTCCCTTGAGCTGCTGACATCAATGACATTGCCAAAGTGTCCTTAGTGAGACCAAGCCATAGACCTTCTACAGCCACTCCCATCTGGACCATCCATACTACTTGTCATCAACTACTATGACCATTATCATGAGTATGTGGAAGTAATTGATAACCTAGAAGAGATCCTCTGCAGCCATGGTCTTCCTGTAACTACCATGTCAGACAATGGACCATAATTCTGATCAAAACAATTCCAAGAATACTGTAGGCAGAATGGCATTGAGTATCTTAAGACCACACAAAAACCAACCTAAGCCAATAGGGAAGTTGAAAGATGAAATGCCATTCTAATGAAGAGGGCCCGCATTTCCCAAGCTGTGGGAGTTGACTGGATAAAGGATAAAGAGGATATGTGAGAGTGTGGTGAGGTATTGATCTGCTAAAAGGCCTGAGGAGTATTGATTAACCCTTAAACTCCCAAGATCTGATTGCCAATTCTCTCCTCTTGCTGGCACACAATTCCTTGTAAATTAGTTACAAGAATTTGGTGTAAGATCAAGATAAAAACTTCTTCCTGATAAGCTTGAGTATTCTTGTTAGCCGTTTGCCAGAAAACATATGGATATCATAGAGAGAAGTTACCTGTTGGTCACTTCTTGGAGTTAAAGGGTTAAAAGAAAGATGAGAGCAAAATTGCCAGAGCTACATGCTGATTGCCACATACAGACTTGTTAGGGTAAAAGAAAAGGCCAAAGCATATGCAGACGAGGCTAAAAACACAAAACAATCAGATATTCAAGTTGGCGATTGAGTGCTAGAGAAAGACAAAAAGACAAATTCTCCACACCATTTAATCCCAAGTGGTTAGCAAGACTGGCAACAGTGTCATTATAGAAACTCCAAGTGGGACCCAATACTCGAGAAATACTTCCCATGTGGAGAAATTTGGGATAGATGATCCTGCATCTACATTTGAAACACTATCTGTCAGCCAGACAAAATTAGAGCACCCACAACAAAACCAGGTTGAGCTGCAAGAGAATTAATACCTGTGGCACCTGCCACTCTGCTGCATGAACCTCCTTCAAGGAATACCCCATTAACACAAGCGTATAGAATGGAAACAAGGCAGTTCCCATCTGTTCAGATCTTGCAATTGATGGAGCAACAGTGCCTGGCACGCAAGCAACACCAAGCTGTGAAAGACCTCAGAGATAGAGGAGGCTTCGGGTACAAGAACTTTGTCTTGCAATGATGAACTGATCATTTAAATTTTAAAAATTCATTGAAATTGAAGAACAAAGTGATTGACAACTTTGTGACTTTGTGATTAAGTTTTGTTAAGGACATCCATGGGGAGATATACTGACAAAGTAGAAAGTTACAGGAGTAAAGAAGTAATTAAGCCACTCACACCTGCTTAAGACATATTAAATGTCTACAGCAAGTGTTGACAGAAAAATGCTTTAGATTCTTGAAGTGAGTTTCTCAATGAATAACTGTACAATTAAATATTGTAAGATCCTCACAGTTATGAATAGTTTGTCCTTGATCAAGAATGTGCAAGGACTGACTTTCAAGATAAACAGTGACACACAAAGGTGTAAATGTTGTGCCTAAATTTACAGGAAAAAGGGTTCCACTTGTACAAAAATCTCATCCTCATAGCTTCATAATTAAATTTATGAGTCATTGGTTTTACCTTTGATGGTCCAGACATCACAGGAAACCTTTAATATTGAATGCAACTGCTGAAAAGAAAAAATTACAATGTCTTAATTAACTTCGCTTTTAGGTTACATATTCACAAAACAGGCAGTATGAGACTGCAGGTGGCTACTGATATAGAATTGGACAAAAATGGAGAAGGTAGTTTAGGTAGAAGATAGTTTTGCAGAAGATTTGTATTACATGCAAGCATGCAAAGCAAGGAAGCCTGCCACATCCCATATATTCATGGGTATGCCTCACTTAGCATTTGCTATCTGCGGGTCAAAGGAATATCTTGTAACCATGCAAGAAAATAAAAACAAAAGAGAAAAGTGAAGAGTGAAGTGGTTAACAAGAGAAAGATGATTCAAGAATACAGTGACTAGTTGACGTTAAACCAGCAACTTAATAATAACAAATAATCATGTGAACAATTATGAAAATCATAGAAATAGTACAAGTAATAATTAAGAGGGACTAGCTTGAAAGCCTCATGGTTCTTTTATTCTCTACGCCCCAATAACAATTAAGGTTACTTCCCACTTTCATGGGTGTTCATTAAGAGAAAATTTGTATACGCTCTAGTTTCACTAAAATCTTAGCAAATTATATATCAGAAGAAAGCTTAATAACTACAGTTTAGGATAAAAATATAATTTGAGCGAGCTTTCCTTTTAGAGAGTGTCAGGAGCTGGTAGGAATTTTCTTTCAGGTACTATGGTTATATGAAAGAAAACACAGCAAGTTTGGACGTGAAGTTTCTTATTGCATGTACACGAGCGTTTTAGCGTGTTTTAGCGTGTAAGCAGCATTTTCTTCACAATTTTTGAAATTAGCTTACAAAATCAAACATACTACTTTCTAACGAACCTTTATTGTTGTGTAAAGGCGCGTAACAACCAAAACAAAAACCCTGCCAACCAGCATTTTATTGGAACACGTGCTAAACAAAGTCCTCGCGCTCGCACGATACAAAGCCAGGTTACTAAGCAGCAAAACTTCGAAGCGAGAAATGTGGCTTTCGTCGAGCGGACTTACCACTTTATTGGCTGCAACTATCAGTTCTTTATTGAACCTTAAAGCGTTTAAACTTAGACTGCTTGAGTTGTGCAGGGAAAAGACATCGGAACTTGTACCGTGTAAAAGTGGATTGTTTGTTTACATATCAGACAATTATTATGCTAATTTGTCCTGAAAGTTTTTTTATCTCAGATTTTGACGCATGTATAAGTCGAGGGCGATTTTTTGGACCGATTTTTAGGCAGTAAAAGGTCGACTTATACCCGGGTAAATACGGTAACCCATAGCAGGCACGTTTCTTTTATCTCTATCACTCAGTGGAACGTTGAGGAGGACAACACAATAATAAGAAAACTTGCCAAAGACAAAGGAAAAACCCATGACAAAGATGGAAAAACTGGAAAATGTGCTAAGAAGCAAGACAACGAATTGATAAACAGCTTTCAAAATTACAATTTGGGCGATTGTCAATGTTTTTGTATCAAGGCTGGTACTTGCATAAAGAAAAGGAAACCTCGTTTTTAACATCATGTATGGCACATTTTGGTTTAACAGTGACTTCTTTGGTGAAATCTAGACACCAGCATGAAGCTCCACTAGTACAAGTCGTTTTCACGAAGGAATTTTTTCTTTACTTGACAGAGTGGTACCCTTTCTTTCTCAGTTTGGGCCTGTTTTTTATTTTTTTTTCTTCCAAGGACTTTCTTCAGCTTTTGATTTTTTCCATGAGCAAAGATTTTTCCATAAACAAAGAGCTTCCATGTGTGAATTTTGTTAAGTGCACAATGTAAACAAAATATGAAAATAACATGAAAATCAAGCCCCAACACGAGCAGTCACAGCAAAAATTCCCCCAGGGGACTTGTCCAGGTTGGAGATTATGACACCTTCCTGATTTATTAACTTTTATTTGAAAATATGTTTTTCTAAATAACTTAGGTGCTTTTACAGATTTCAGATATTTTTTTGGAATTGTTAGGTTTAATGTTTGAATTCAGTTTTTACAAATAAAAGAAAAATCAATTTTTTCAGCCTCTGAAGGTGGGAATTAACTAAATGCTTGGTGTTTATGGTTCAAGTTTCAGTTGATTTGAGGCGCATCATATGCTGTTCAAGGTAACTAGCTGTTTGAAGGTGACGTATAGCATCTGCATAAAATACTTAAGTCAATGTTCCATTGTTTTCTAGACAATAAATTTTCCTCTTCCTTTTTGGTTGTTTGACGAACAAGCCCAAAAGATGTCAATGAATCCTCTAATCACAATATTGCAAGCCAAAACAACAATTTCTTACTAAAACAGTAGAAAACATGTCATGCACTTCACTACAAAGGGTCTTTGATTCCTAACAAGTAAAGTTTTATCTCTGGCAAACAATTTGTGATCTGGGTTACCAAGAAGGTTGCCCTTGGAATTCTGTTTGACATCCACTTATATCCTTTTCTGATTATTGCAAACAAGTGGTTACTCCATAAGAACTTACTGAAACTTCAACATATTTTCATATCGGGGAACTAACAATACATAATTATAATAAAGTTCGGATATAACGCGCGCTGTCATTGGTTGAAAGAGCGTGCTCTATGAGAGTATAGAGCATAGAACTGAGCTAAAGCTGTCACGCCATCTGCCAATTGTACTATGTTCGACCTTTTCCGGGACTTCTTTTTAGCTTTTTCTCGATAATTGAAAGTGAAATTTCGGAACTGAAGCGAGCCGGCAAATAGCAACAGAAGAATCAAACAAAGGTTTGTAAACATACCATGCGCCGTAATTTACGTTATTAAAACGTGAGCAGATACGAAAATCCTCAAAGGAAAAACAAAATAAACATTCCGAGTTTTAAAGATTTTCACGCTCAGTTAGATTGCAAGCTTACGTACGGTAATAAAAATCAAACACAGCTAACACTCGTATAGTATATAAAGTCAGTGTTCAAAAACAAAACAGGACAAAACAGAAATGATGAAAAATATAACCAAACTGGCATAATTGTTAAAATTCATACTAATCATAACGGTGTCTGAGCGAATATGATCATGCTAAGTTCATCGCGGCTCGCTCATCATGGCGATCTCCGGTCATCACAGTAAAGCAAGCCTCGGAAACTACATCGGCCGCCCTTCGAGTGAAAAAATAAGAGCTTGCTCTGATATCCTTTCCGATACGTTGAGTGGCAATTCACATCAGTCACTGCAGCCGAGTTTTGCGTCGCTGTCATCACGAGCGATCTTCATGTTCCGGTGAATTCAGCTGTCTTTCATTCAAAAAACACTCGCCTTGAACAGCTTGTTTTCTACCTTGTCATGTGGAAAAAACTCGCGTGCTTTTATGAGCCATAATTCGGTTGAATTTCACTGAACATTTCACTTCGAGATTCTATATTAGAGACTTAAAAACTTCAGGCAAAAGTGTTAAATTCGACTCGCCGAACTATTTTAGTTTCTAAATTATCGTAGAATGTGAACTTTGATGGTTTTTGAACTTTGATGGTTTGACACTTTTGACAGCTCTAGTCTTGTACAGCCAATCAGATTATTTGAGCCATTCTAACAAGGATTCTGATTGGCTTATTGTAGCGTGCTTTATGAGAGTATAGAGCATGCTGACGACATTGTTGTTCGCTTTGGAAATAAAGTTTGTTTTGAAAATTGAAAGTAATGCTTGGGTAATTTAACGGATTCTCTATTATTGGAATTCTGTTTGACATCCACTTATATCCTTTTCTGATTATTACAAACAAGTGGTTACTCCATAAGAACTTACTGAAACTTCAACATATTTTCATATCGGGGAACCAACAATACATAAATAAAACATGAAAACTTACCACATTTCGTTACAAGGGTTGTTTAGGATCGTTAATCCAGACATATCCGAGACGGTGAGATGACTGACTCTCTAAACCTTCAAAACAATCACAGGCCACATTGTGATGAGATTACAAAGGACTATTGAAAAGTAAAGGAAAATTTGAGTCATTTTAAATATTCTGGATTGATCTGTTGTTTTCTTTCTCATTTGCTTGAGAGTCAAAATGATTCATGAATTGTGAATAAGCAGACAAGAGTATGGCTACTGGTGTACTGGCAAATTTCCAGTGGAACAAACCTAACAGTCAAAGCTATAAATTCCACATCCCTAGCAACTCTTGTGCTACGTAAACCTTCCTGTTCTTCCAAAATACCACAAGAGGCTTAGATTAAGAAAAAGCCTTCCCACTTTTCACTTTGACATTTCCGACATAACAGCTTGGTAAAACGACCAGAGCCCACGGCGAAGTCAGCTAGTTATCAGAGAAGCACAGACAAACATCATGCGATCCAACCAGCAGTTATTTCAAACACGTTTTCGCGCGAAGGACATTCGAAATGACTCCAATAAATGTACGATTACTGAGCAAGATATCTCCCCTCATGTGGAACCTTTCCACGAAACCAACAAACATAAGCTTTCAGAATTACCTTCGATCAGCAGATAGATCACGGACAACGCAAGCCGCTCAAAAAACAAAAGTTGCATCAGCTCAAGAATCTTCGCTCACTGCCATGCTGACGGCCTTGCCAGACAATGACGGACACTTCACGTAAAGATTCTAAATCACCCCATAATCAAAGATATATGTAAAAGTAAAATTAACTCCAGTCAAATTTCACGTCTTTAGAATGGCGAAAGGTCGCTTTACTCCCACCCACATCGATGGGCATTCCCAGAGTTCCCAGGGGACTTTCAGTTTCCAAAAATGGGGCAGAAGGATCGTGGAACTCCTACAGCCCCTACAACTATAGATGCTTTTTTATTTCAAAATCTTCCGTCTGTTTTCAAATAGAAATAAAGCGAAACGATTAAAGTTTACGCAAAAAACTTAAAGATAAATACTCTATCTACCGCTAAGTACCAAACAAGTTCTCGATTAATTTTCCCTTTCGCCCGCAAGGGTCCCACGAATTATTTAGTGAATAGACTTAAAAAGCAGGTAGGATTCTCCAAAATTTTAACACGTAAAAGCACAACTTTTGATTTTACTGAGTGTGCAAGTGGCGTGTGTCTGTGCGTGAGGGGGAGGGGGTGAATCGGGATTTTTTTGCCCGAAAGCCCTTGGCATATCAAAGAATCAGAATTTGGTGAGTTGAAACAAAGTCTGTTGTGGGAGCAATTCGAAAATAGGGAATGTACCCAATGTCTTCTTTTTCATGGTGTCATGGGCAGATGAGGTCCCCAAGAAGGTAAATCAGTAAAAAAAAACATACCATTTTCAATGGAAGGTCTATGAAAGAAAACGAAAGAATGGTTAATGGATAGTTACTTTTCAATCATCGTTTAACCCTTCAATTCCCGTGAGTGACCAAGACAGAATTTCTCCTTACAATATCAATACAAAATCAAGAAGACAAGCGATGAGAACCAAGAAAAGTATCAGATAGAGGATTATTAGTTGATCCAATACCAAATTCTCAGAAGTAACATGAGAAGAATTGTATAGCAGACAGTAAGGAGAATTACTAAAAAGATCTTGGGGGTTAAAGGGTCAATGCACTTCTCCATTATGAAACAAATTTTATCACCCGAGCTTAAAGTTTTCACAAATTAGAAAAAATTAATAAATAAGTCACTGGCAGAGATAGGCTAGTAGCGTGAAGTCTGTGAAGTAAATTTCAACCGGAATACGAAACTACTCTGAACTGCATCGGTTTTACCTTAACTCTTTACTCCTTAACATCAATATCCAGATTCTCCATACTCTTCTCCGTGCATTTCCTTTGGTACTGACAAGGAGAATTTGTTTAATAATCAAAACCTCTTAAGTTGGCGATCATTTTCTTTTTTTTCTCGGGATCTTAACGAATGATTCAGCAATATTATTGTTAGGAGAAATTAGATGCTGATCACTCTCAGGGTTTAAGGGTTAACGCTCTATTTCTCCAGAAACTACGCACCACTCTCTCAACCAATCAGATGCTAGACTGGAATCAATTTCGACTTAGTCACTCGTGTCTAGTGCTTTGGGATGACTGTTTTGATTTTACTTCAGCAACCTAATGACTCCTTGTGTGATATTGTACTTTGCTTTGACTGGACATTTTAATAACTTGGGTTTTGGTTATACAACGCGCACTACTCGAAAAGCGCTTAAGAAGAACAAACGAGAGGTTTTTCTTAATGCCGGCGATGCAGTCGGATGCGTAATGAGAAGAGCAGAGCCTTAACCCTTTACACCCTAACATCAGTTTGCATATTCTCCATACTGTTCTCTATACATTTCCTAAGGTGTCGACAAGGAGAATTTGTTTAACAATCAAGAGCTTCTCTGGCTGATGATCATTTTTCTTATTCTCATGGCATTTATTTGTAATTCAGGGGTGATATTGTAAGGAGAAATTAGATGCTAGTCACTCTTAGGGGTTTTAAAGGGTTAAATACCATCTACTGAAAATCATACAGCAGGAAAGTGAAGTAGCTTACGGCGCTAAGGACGCGGTTACTTATGATCCCATGAAAACTAGATCATCAAAGTCATAAGTCATCGGATGGCCTGAGAACTGCCACTGTGATTGGTTGGTTCGTCCGCTTCTGCTTGCGACTCCGACAATTCAGTTTTCATTGGATCAGAAGTGTTTGAGTCAAAGTGATTAAGGAAACAAAATGGAAACGTTCTGTATCTTCCGACTCTAAATCCGTCCATTTCGATTTTTATTGTACGACACTGCCAACATTTTGAGGCATAACTCACTTAATTTAAGCATTGCACGGACCTGGTTGCAAGCTGAATAATTCTCAGAACATCTTTCTGTTTTAGGACAAAAGTGGGAAGCAAGAAAGACACCAGCGCTTTGCTCTGACATAATGTTAAACTTCCACCGTTTAGCTCCACGACTTAATCACCTTTCACTATATCAATTGAAGAGAAATTTTAAAATCCTCCTTGCAAATTTATTACATATCGTCAAAAAGGCTGTTGTGCTAAAAAATTGATAACATGTCGTCAAAAAAGCTGTTGTACTAATCGTGGTAGTGAAGTGCTATCGCTTGACTCACGATGAGATCACTTCCAATGTCAATCGCAATCAGGTAGACTGACTGCGCGTCACCTTATGAAAGACTGACATGATATTTCCACAGAAAATTTCCACTCTACTTAATACCTGGTTAAATAATAGAAAATTTTACAAAGTAGTCGAGCATTTTCTTAATCCATGATTCAACTTTAAATGCGACAATCACCATGCTATTACGAGGAAGATTTACTTATGTGTCTAAAACACTGTTCCTTCCAATCAGTTGGTACAAAAGAATCCTTCACCGGGCTTGTTCCTGTTTAAGACGCTCTCCAATACTTCAACACCATTTAATCCTTCATCACGCTGACAGCTGGGCAGTTGGGATGTGAAGGCTGTAAAAAATAAAAAACAGAAAGAAAATCAGTAAAAAATAAAGAATTTTGTTTTCGTTTTGAAATGAGCCTGAGACGAATTGGAAGAGTAGAACCCCACACCTGCGGATTTTTGCGCTCGGATGCTCTACCACGAGGCTGCAGATAACTAATTGGTAACCTAAGGTGTATGGGGGCTTCAAATGTGACAAGAACCTTGCACAATGGTAGGATTAGCATCATCAAAGCAACCCGTGTAAACTGCGAATAGGAGAGATAATACCAACCAAGCTAAAAGTTACCATTCGCAAATCATTTCATTCCGCACTGTAAACAGTAGTTTAAATTACCGTAGCACTACTAACCCTTCTGATTTCGAAAAACCTCAAGTTAAAACCTGGCTCCACGAGCAAATAGTGGTACTTGTCGTAAATGAAAGCTAATTCAGTTTGATGATTGAAGAAAATAACTCCCACTTTAAGCCAAACTTAAATTAGAAATTGGCCCAGGCTTTCAAAATTCTAGTTTTGGCACAACGTAGACTCTCCCATCATGCGTAAGCCTTTAACCCCTTAGAGTGACCAGCTTCTAATTTCTCCTTACAATATCACCCCTGAATCAAACATGAAAGTCACGAGAATCGAGGAAATGATCACCAACTTATAAGGCTCTTAAATTTTTAACAAATTCTCCTTGTAAGCGCTTCAGGAAATGTCTAGAGAACAGTATGGAGAATATGCATACTGATGTTATGGTGTAAAGGGTATTTACTCTTAAGAATCTAAATGACTTACCCACTGTCAAGCGTCTTCTAACATCAAATCCTGTCAAGGACTGCGCTTTCGTCATTGCGGTCATTAACCGCAGAAGATTCCAAGTCCTTACTTGCCAGGATGTAACACACAAGTCCTCCTCTGCTGCACTGCAGTTTGGTCCAGTTCAATTGAAACAAGTCCCTCCCGTTGACTTCTTAGCCAAGTTCTTAAACTACATCCAACCAGTGGCTCGCCTCCTGTCACAAGGCTCGCAGCGCTTTTTCCTCCACGAGAAATTTAGAATCAGACACAGTCTCCAACCCCGTCAACGTAGCTGTTAAATGTAGACACTGTCGCGTTGTTCCAGGTCAGGTTTCCAGTCTTCTGTAATTATAATCGCTGAATGTACAAGTGCAACCACAACCTCATGTTAGGATACTCAGTCGGTGTTGAGAATGTTCAAAAGATGTGCTTTTAGCTAAGCCACGCTCATTTAGGGTTTTTCATTGCTCTCACTAAACAAGTTAACTTCAAGAAAAGTTTTGATCGACGATGTGATCCTTGACGAAGCTTGACAGAATTTGTTTATCCAGTCTTCGTATGAATTAGTGTGGTTGTTTAGTGTAAGGTTTAATATGGCAAGTGACGTGGTCTGTGCCACAACACTCCTCAGATTACGCATCCAGTCTCCATGCATGTCACTGTGGTTGTTGACTGTAATACTCAACGTGGTTATCGACGTGTTTTGTGCCAAACCACTTCCCAGTTCGCCCATCCAGTCTCCACTCATGTTACTGTAGTTGTTGAATGTAATACTCAGCGTGGTTATCGACGTGCTGTGTGTCAAACTACTTCCCAGTTCGCCCATCCAGTCTCCACTCATGTAACTGTAGCTGTTGATTGTAATACTCAGCATGGTTATCGACGTGCTTTGTGCCAAACCACTTCCCAGTTCGCCCATCCAGTGTCCACTCATGTAACTGTAGCTTTTGAATGTAATACTCAGCGTGGTTATCGACGTGTTTTGTGCCAAACTACTTCCCAGTTCGCCCATCCATTGTTCACTCATGTAACTGTAGCTGTTGACTGTAATACTCAGCGTGGTTATCGACGTGTTTTGTGCCAAACTACTTCCCAGTTCGCCCATCCAGTGTCCACTCTTGTAATTGTAGTTGTTGACTGTAATACTCAGCGTGGTTATCGACGTGTTTTGTGCCAAACTACTTCCCAGTTCGCCTATCCAGTCTCCACTCATGTAACTGCCGTTGTCGACTGTAATACTCAGCGTGGTTATCGACGTGTTTTGTGCCAAACCACTCCAAAGACCACCCATCCAGCCTTCACTCATGCCACTGCAGTCGTTGAATGAGAGGTGTAATGTAGTAAGTGACACGAATTTCGCCAAAAAGTCACCAACACTTCGTCCCCAGTCC